ACCCAAACCTACTTCAAAATAATTTGGGCATACAATTTGGTTTGTAAAGAATCATAGAATACTAACATCCACTTGATCAAGCAAGTTCAAATTAATGACAGCTTACGTTTGACAAGCCACCAGAAAATAGTGCAAATGAGAAATATATGATCTCTGATTAATTAACTGAAGCTTTAGAAACCCTTTTCCAGTTACTTTGTAGAGGGAACTTGAGTAATTTGCATATTGATACTGCACAATGATAAACTTGCAGTTTTCTATTCTACAATTCAGCTTTAGAAATGAACTATTTAATTATGATTAACAAGCAAATCCAGCTTCAATCAACAGTTTCTAAGTAAAGTTTATTTTATAATCATAAAGAGCAGAAGAAATGGAAGAAATTATAGAATAATTTAGCCTTCCCCCCTCTGGAGGACTTGCAAACAAGTAATTACTAAAATGAACAAAAATTCTACCTTGGTCTTCTTTTGCTTTGATCTTTTGTGAGAAAAGTTTTCACCCTGTGTCTTAGTATTCAAGGAAGTACTACTGGAAACAGTTTTGTTTGTCCCGGCATTAACTGTAAAATGCTTGATTTCCGAATAATATTTTTGTACTGGAATAAATCTGAAAAATATTTTTTCTTTTTTTCTTTTTTTAATAAAATCACTGTAGATACGGATGAGATACGTATCTTTCACGAATCAAAACATATCTGTATCGGATACGTATTCGATACGGATACAGGATAAGATTTCACGTATCCGTGCTCGAGAGATTTTAAGAAATTTTTAATGCAAAATAATACATTAAAATGTGGTCTTCTTTTGCTTTGATCTTTTGTGAGAAAAGTTTTCACCCTGTGTCTTAGTATTCAAGGAAGTACTACTGGAAACAGTTTTGTTTGTCCCGGCATTAACTGTAAAAGACAATTCAACAATCACCACTCTGACCAGCCAAATACAAAAGGACCATAAAAAAATTGAGAAACATTCAACAATGTTATCAGAAAAACTCAACTCTGTTTTAGAGTACTAATATCACTTGTGCAAAGAGTTTTCAAATATTATTTTAAACCTTTATAATATTTGAAAGGATTTTATAAGATTTTAAAGGATGGAGTATTCTAGAAATTCAAGAACATTTATGAATTTTTAAAAAACAATAAAGTTAATTAAAAAAAAAAGAAGAAGAAAAGAGGAGGAGGAGATAGGTAAGAGACGAAAAGAGAAGAGAGTGAGAGAGAGAAGAAAAGAAAGAGAGAAAACAAACTTAAATAATTATGAAAATTTTTATTAATTAAAGAGAGGTTTGTGCAGGTATTTTAATTATTAGAGATAGATATGTATTTCATTTGTTTTAATGTATCTTTATTATATAGTATTGTTTTAATTAATGTGTGAGGGAAGGGATAATTAACTCGGTTGCTTTTTTAGCTTTAAGAGTGAAGTGTGTCTTAAGAGGTTTATTAGAAGAGGTGGGGTTTTAAAAAGAGAAGTTTATATACAGAAGTCTAGTTTTACGCTTCATAGTTTCTTATGTTTCTCTTCTCTTTTTTTTTTTTGCAACTCAAGAACCTAGGGATCAGGAAGCCACTAGAGATCATGAGTTTAGGCTTGGGTAGAATCCCAATTTTGACTTGAATGTTGTGAACTTGTGTTCCAATGAAAGGGGAGGGGCGAGGGGCAATCACATACCTCTTCGTGAGCAAATGAAAGAGAAATGTTAGGGATTTGCATTTTACAGAAACCATTAATCATCGGAAGCGGAAGCGGAAGCGGAAACCACATACCTCTTCGTGAGCAAAAAGAGAGCAAAAAAGAGAAAACAAAAACGAAAAATAGAGAGAAACAAACCTCTTTGTGAGCAAAAAGAGAGTGAAAAAGAGAGACAAACCTTTTCGTGAAGAACGACGTCGTTCAAGGGGAAGCCACGCTCACCTCCTCTTCAACTCCTCTTCACCTCACCTTTCACCTCCTCTTTGTGAAGTTGGTTTCTCAAATTTGAAGAAGGAAATTTCACTCTTAGGATTGGAGGGAAACTACAAAAATAAAGCGGTAATAACTTTTTTTCATTTATTTTATATAAATATAAAAAATATTAGTCAATATAATTTTTGAAACATATTATATTATTAAATACAAATATTTTAAACATTAAGGCGAGATTCATGGGCAAGGAGGAGGGTTTCAACCTCTTCGATGGACAAAACATCAAAGCGGCTGCTTATTAGGGAGACGGTGGACTCGTATTCCTCCGGTAGGCCATCAAGAACAATGCCCAAATGTTCTTTAGAGGAGACAGAATCACCAATGGCTGTGAGAGAATCAACTAGGGATTGGATGCGAAGAAGGTAATCGGAGATGGTGCCGTTGTCAAGGGTGGTGCTGCGAAGATCACTACGAAGTTGTCGGGCTTTAGCGTTTGTGTGGGCATGAAAGTACTCATGAATCTTGTCCCAAATCTGGAATGAGGACTTGCAACCGATGACGTGGGTGAGCATGTCCTTGGACATGGAGGATTGCAACCAGGAAAGAAGTAACTGATCTTGTTGTTCCCAAGCAAGATACTCTTCAGAGACACAATTTTCATCTTTGTCAGAAATCGTGAGAAATTTTGGAGGAATTTGAGGATTGACCAGAAAGTGATGAAGACGATGGCCTTTGATGACCGGTTCAACTTGTTGGCACCAAAGAAGATAATTCTTGGTGTCAAGTTTCTCAGAAATAGTATGAGCGAATGTGAGAGAGGGAGACGAGGAGGGTTTTGCCGGGGCAGCATGAAGTGTGGTGGTGCAGTTGAGGAAGACGATGGTGGTTCTTTGGCCATGAGGAGAGATCGACAGCGAGAAAGAAAAGGGCTGAGAGAGAGGGGAGGAGGGATTGAAGGGATAAAGAAGGAAAGGATCGATGAGCTCTATGATACCATATCAAGTAACAGAAAGAATTGAGATGAGAGAGTCTTGAGAATAAAGAAGAGAGATAGAGCGGAAGCAATTTAGTAGAGAAAGGAATTATATTTTCAGTAGGTGATCAACATTACAACTTGTCTATTTATATGTATCAATAGCTTCAAAGGAAGCTATAGACACATTGACCTGTTGAACAGGTAACCAAACCAGAAAACAGAAAATAACGAACAGATAAAAAACTAATACAAGAATAAAACTAATACAATGCGAAGGAGTAAAGATATACTCCAATAAAGACCTTAAATAGATCTAGGTGGCTTATAGGAGAAGCTAGCTTAACCAAAGGTTCAAAATGAACCAAGATTAGCTAACTAAAGTGGGTTGGCACACCAATTTGAATTTGAAATTCAAATTGGTGCATTAACCTTCCCTCCACTATGTGACCATCAATATTCTTGCACTCAATTTTCTAGTATTAATGGTAGTTAACTCAAAGGATGACCAACTCAAACCATGTACATTACATTATTATCGAATTTGTACTTGAGGTTGATACTATTCATTTCCAACTTTTTGCCCAAGCTTTCATAAGCCAACCATCACCTCCAACACTTAAGTTTAAGTGTTTTGTTACATGCCTCAATGTCATGGCTTTGATAGACATAAGCAACTTCCATAATATATTACAACCTGGCTTTGCCACTCACTTACACCTACTTGTTACTCCAACTTTCCCATTTTCATCTATGATAAAGAAGGACCACCTTATTCAATGTAGATGGATATGCTCTAATTTCCATCTCAACCTCCAATTTGTTAACTTTCTGTCAGGTACTAAAAAGTAACAAAATAATATCTTGCACCAAAATAAGAGATAAAAAAGAAGGACAAAAGAGACAATGGACAAAAAAGTAACTTCATTAAGTGGAAGAAATTACAAAACTTCTCTCTAAACTCTAGGAGAGCACAAGGACACTATCTAGAAAATAGGAGAATACCACTAATTAGAGAAACTCTCTCAAAATAGACAAAGAGAATATATGATTGAGCAAATAATAAGATAATGTTGCTTACATTTTTTATAGGCGAAAAGAGGATTGACACCATGATGTGAATCTTTGGGTTCATATCACACCATAAAACCTTGTCAATGTCGATTAGCTTTGTCATGATATATGCTAGGTTGTGTTAAGTGTGAATCTTCTCCATATCCACACTTGAGAATGGTTAAGTAGAAAAGGTTATGCCCTGACTATTAGGCTATGACTTATAGCTTTTAGCCCAGTGGTAAGCGCTTAATCCAACAAGAGCGTTTGCACCACCACTTTATCCCTTCAGCCAATGTTGCTTCATCAGGATCTCCAATCTTTAGTCTACTCCAAGTTCATCACTCAAACAATATCAATTTAGTGTTCCATTCTTTGTTATCACTTAAAACTGCAAATTTTCAAATAATTCAAATAGATGGAGAACGGAATCTTTTTCTTTTTCAATTAATTCTACTTTCTTGTTGTTGTCTATTTCTATTATTAAAAAGAAAATATTCAAAGTAAGCAAAACCTAACTAAAAGTAGCAATTTACCTCTTATTTATCCAACTGTAAATAACGAATTATTTAACAATGAAGAAATCAATAGGGAGTAGACATCTAAGAGGTGAAACTAATAGAAATTTATGAAAGAGCTACTACAATAATTCTAGTGTAAAAGATTATTCATGTGACAAACTAAAGGATGTTGTGGTTGCCGCCCAATTCATGTTGACTTGGTTTGGTAGCCTTAAATTATAATTAAAATGATTATAAATTGTATTACTAGGAAATATATCGCATCAAGCTACCTGGGCCTCCAACAATAATTGGTGAAGGGAAAGTTGAAAGCCAAAATCATGCGATTATATTTACTCGTGGAGAAGCCTTGCAGACCAGAGATATGAATCAGGTAACTTTTCCTATCCAAAATGATAAGATTTGTCTAAAATTGGTATTCTCTAAAAACTACAAAGGGACTATTCATACAAAGGTTTTTAAAAAAATTTGTATGAGCATATAAGATTGAGACACCTGACACCATACTTTGTTGAAAGACTATCATCAATAACTTGTAAAACTATAAATTTTAGGGATTAGTAATATTTGATAAGAAAAGTTTTTCCTAAATGCATATGTTATTGACTTAAATGATTAACAAACTAAATTACTCTAATACAATCTATTATAATTTGATAACAAAATAATGCATATTAGAATTACAATGAAAAAAAAATTCAACACTTGCCTTTCTTTTTCGTGACCCAAAAGCATTTTCAACACTAAAATCATTATCGTTGTTATCCTCACTAGAAAAATTTGATCCAAGTTCTTCTTCATCTTCAAGTATGTAGTCTTCATCATCCTTTTCAACTTTCTCTTTATCTCTCTTCTTAGAATTTTGAATCAGACCCTTAAAAATGGAGGAGATTTGGGACAACCCAAGAGCCTCTAATCTTGCTCTATTTTCTGCAATTTTTTGCATCCTCTGCTCCTCATACTTGGAAGTTTCAAGCTTTGACATTGTTTTTCTCTTCTTCACTACAAACAATAAACCTTTCAATATTAGATATATTAAGTTTATATTAGCATTTAAGAATCTAATTGGAACAGTAAAAAAAATCAATCTTTGAAATTATTGATTCTTCTTTTTCCAATTGTACATTATTTTTAATCATATATCACAATCTTTGTTTATCATTTTGGGATAGGGTTTAGTTTAGTTTAATGTCCATAGAAACTTATTATAACAATCAATGGAAGTGAAATTGATGATGACCTAATGAATCCGAATGTCTTCCAATTTGGTTTATTAGTTATATTAGTAATAAGTGGAATTTTTAAGGGAATAGGAGTTGAGAAGAGTATGTCATTTGGTGATATAGAATTAAGACTATGATATAGTATGTCATTAACAATTAGATGACAAAGACATGTATAATTTAGACATACCTTTTGGATCACCTTCTTAATAGTAGTCTCACTAATACGTGACAACGGTAGAAATGGAGCAATGCCTTCAGGTGATCCACCAATAGTCTTTCTAGTACTGAAAGGAACTACCTACAAAGTCATACAAGCCTCTTACAATGCCACTGATCAGAGTAACCAACTCCAACTCGGTACCCAATCTTTTTATTCTAAAAAACACAGTTAGCGAGTTTTCACATACGAGAATGGTGCCCATGGCATGTATAGATGCAGGTAGTTGAATTTTTTTGAAACAAATTAAACAGAGAAAGTGTAAACAGAAAACAGGAAGAGTCACTAGATTACTAATTGTAGTGACAATAGGTACTAGTTAACCCAATACATTAAATTTGTGTAAAGCTCTACATCTATGTATACAAACAGTCCAGACGGTTGAATAAAGGCATTAAATATGCTCGTAAAAGCTTTGTTAGAAAAGATACATGTCATATCCTTTATACCAATTTAATCCAATGACAAATATAATCCTAAAAGCAAACTATGAGACACAAGCCACGGTGATGGAAGTAAAAGTTACAATTAGATTTTAAATAATGATAACGAATGCAGACAATCAATTGTTACTTTCCAGAAAAGAATATGTAAAATCACAAGACAAACCGCAGCATAGGGTGATGCTTTGTTTTTTTTATTCTTGTTCAAATGAATTAGAAACAATCTTCACACTAGTAATTCAAGTTAGATACACGATAAAACAAAGGCAATATACAAAACATATCCCTTACATTGTTTAAAACATAATTCCACTAGACGATTGAGGCATCTCCGGCATCTGTGAATCAAAGAACTGTAACTCCTTCAAAACTAAGGTGTATAGGAAAATAACGAAAATAACGAGTAACGCAACGAAGGCAAACCTTTTACAGGAACAATCACAACAGATGCTGCTTTACAATGGTGAAAGCAGTACTCACCAACACTTCCCTGTATCACACTGAAGAAAATCACAATTAAGACTGCAATAGACATTATAACATTATAACTGATTGTCTTTTGTTTTATGTATCGATATAGACATGGTACAAGGGATAGTTCCAATAAGCCTTTCTCTAGTGTTACATTTTTTGTTCTGTCAGTGATTTTTTTTTAATGAATTTACATGGTTAACTCCACATTTATCTCTTATGGGTAGTAACAGCAAAGCAGCCAATTTCAAACATATCAAACTTCTAGAAACAGGTCATATCAATCCAATATCAAGTTATTTAAGTGTACTCAACTTCTAGGGAACTGTTTGTGTTTGATGATGGTGATATTAATTGGTTCGATGCGTGAGATTATATGGGACAGGGCAAATTGGGTACAAAAGTGTACTCATATAACATATCATCAATGCATCTTACTTATATGCACACCAAATATCTGATGGTAAAATATTATTTTATCAATTTCTTTATCCTGTGATATTTTAGTGCATGTATTCACTTGTACAATATAGTGCAGTGCACCCATAAATAGCCTATCAAACTCAGCAATTGCATGCAATGTGTCGTTTCTCCAATTCTAGTTTCTTCTTCATTCGTACAATCTCAATAAATATCATAATTCAACTAGCTACTTACTCCACAAAATCCACAGGCATCGTACATTGATTCTATTCATCTTTTGTTTCTTATATATCAACTTCATTCACTTTTTACTTGACAACGTATAAATTAGTGATTGTCACACTATCTTATGCCTTCGATAGTTATAGAGATCGATGACAGATTCATTCATTCACTTTCCAGTTACTTTGTAGAGGGGACTTGAGTAATTTGCATATTGATACTGCATAATGATAAACTTGCATTTTTCTATTCTACAATTCAGCTTTAGAAATGAAATATTTAATTATGATTAACAAGAAAATCCAGCTTCAATCAACAGTTTCTAAGTAAAGTTTATTTTATAATCATAAAGAGCAGAAGAAATGGAAGAAATTATAGAACAATTTAGCCTTCCCCCCTCTGGAGGACTTGCAAACAAGTAATTACTAAAATGAACAAAAATTCTACCTTGGTCTTCTTTTGCTTTGATCTTTTGTGAGAAAAGTTTTCACCCTGTGTCTTAGTATTCAAGGAAGTACTACTGGAAACAGTTTTGTTTGTCCCGGCATTAACTGTAAAAGACAATTCAACAATCACCACTCTGACCAGCCAAATACAAAAGGACCATAAAAAAATTGAGAAACATTCAACAATGTTATCAGAAAAACTCAACTCTGATTCATTACAGTACTCAGGCAAAAAGATCTACCTAGACAAAAATACCTCTCCCTCACACAACCTAAAAAATCATTTGCAAGGTATACTCCATAGCCCCACTTCAAACTTGAACGCAAAATATTGATTAGAAACAAAATAAATAAATAAAAATAAAAATAAAAATGAAAATTCCGCATCAATGACAAGTACCAAGTACCGGGATTATCAGCAATAATACCTAAATAATCAACTATATATATATAATTATATATATTATTCAACACGCAACAAATATATAAAACAGAAAACCAACGAAGGATCGCAAATCGCCTACAATAATATCAATACAAAAAAAAAAGGTAATTAAAAATTACCAAGAGCCAATCCGTATAACCCAAACTTCTAATAATCAATCAGAACAGAACCTAACAGAATCAGATGCTTTGATAAAAGGTATTAAAAAATTAAAAATGATTTTTTATTTCTGAAATTGAAATCCGATAGAGAAAATGAAAGAGAAATGAAAGGGGAGGGGCGAGGGGCAATCACATACCTCTTCGTGAGCAAATGAAAGAGAAATGTTAGGGATTTGCATTTTACAGAAACCATTAATCATCGGAAGCGGAAGCGGAAGCGGAAACCACATACCTCTTCGTGAGCAAAAAGAGAGCAAAAAAGAGAAAACAAAAACGAAAAATAGAGAGAAACAAACCTCTTTGTGAGCAAAAAGAGAGTGAAAAAGAGAGACAAACCTTTTCGTGAAGAACGACGTCGTTCAAGGGGAAGCCACGCTCACCTCCTCTTCAACTCCTCTTCACCTCACCTTTCACCTCCTCTTTGTGAAGTTGGTTTCTCAAATTTGAAGAAGGAAATTTCACTCTTAGGATTGGAGGGAAACTACAAAAATAAAGCGGTAATAACTTTTTTTCATTTATTTTATATAAATATAAAAAATATTAGTCAATATAATTTTTGAAACATATTATATTATTAAATACAAATATTTTAAACATTTTATTTGATAAATTTAAATAACTTTTATCTTTATAAATGAATTTAATTTAAACTATAAATAAAAAATAATAATAAATTAAATAGAAATAATACTGATAAAAATATACAAAAAGATATACTATTATAATTCTAATATGATATTATTTTAAATTCCAAAGTATAATTAAGTTGTTGTTTTAGTTTTAAAAATAATAAAATACTTGTATTTGAAAAAAATTTAAAATAAATTAAAAATAAAGTGAAATATTTACTCTATGCAATTAGTTTTTTTTAAATGTCATGTATTTATTACTTTTACCTCTTATAATATAATATATTAAAAAAATTAGAAGATGCAAAATGATAGGGCCAAGATTCTGCTTAACTTTCAAGTAAGTCCTTCCTTATACACAACAATAATAAAGTAACACCCTGAGGACAACACATTCAGATGCTCCAACCTTAGCAAAAAAATTTATAGTTGCATATTAAAAGAAGGAATGTATGATTTATAAAAGAAAATAAAACACAAAAAAGGTATGTTTTGTAACAAAAAAGAAAGAGAATGAAAAGTGTGTTTTGTAACAAACTAAAACATGAAAGGTTTGTTTGGTAACTAAAAATATACAGAAGGTATGCAAATTTATGAAATTTTCATTTAAGAAAATAATTTTAAAATGTAAAATAATTTTAAAAATATTTATTCTAAAATATCCTAAAAATATTCTCATCACTTCCATTCAAGATAATTATTTTAATTTAAGAAAATCATTTTAAAATGTAAAATAATTTTAAAAATATTTATTCTAAAATATCCTAAAAATATTCTCATCACTTCCATTCAAGATAATTATTTTAGTTATACAGAGAAAATAAGTTAGTTTAATTTTATTTGATATTTTTTTAGAGTTAGGTAATAAACTTTAAAATATTTATTTATTATAATATTTTAATTCATAATATAAATATTATGTGCAATGGACAAACTTAAATGTTATTAAGTAAATAAATGAAAAAGACTATCTAATTAACAACTAAAATAATCTTATTTAAATTATTTAATTTAATTATCATTTAGATAATATTTGTTATATTTTAACATTTTTTATTAATAGAGATAATGTTATTATCTTAATTTGGATAATGTTATCATCATAGATAATTTGTTAATAACAGTTTTTTTTTTCAAATTCGAATGTTTTATATATAGTCATGTTAAGTACATGAGAATACATAACATTTTCCTTTACTATAATTTCAAGTCTAAGTCATTGATATGCAGTTGGATTGAGTACTTGAAGAAAGATATCTATCATGAGAAAAAGATTGTTTTAATTGTGGATTCTACAAAAAGAAAATAT